AATATGTCTCTGCTGTGGTGCGCTCGGCCTATAAAAGCTTTGGCTAATCACTTAGCTGAGCCCCTACCTAAATAACATTTCTCCAACAACATTGGTCCACGCATTGGTAGTCTCAAAAATTGACTACTGTAATGTATTCTGTGTGGAGCCTCCCTTGAAGCTGGTACGGAAGCTAAATGAGGTCCAGAAGAATAAATAAATAAATAAATAAAATGAAGTTTTATCATATTACCCCCAATTCTAGTTTGCCTGCATTGGTTGCTGGACCACGTCTGTGCCAGGTTCAAAGTTCTTGTTCTAACATATAAAGACCTAAACAGTTTGGGACTTTGTTCCTTGTCTGAACATCTGCCAAATTCGGCTGCTTCTCTGACCTGGTCCTCACAGACCTCATGCCTGTGAGTGTTGAAACCTCAAGATGCCTGGAAAACATCAACTAGAAACTGGGCTTACTCAGCAGTGGAGCCGTTCTAGTGGAATGCTCTTCTGCAAGAAATATGGCAGGCTCCCTCATGCCTTTAAAAGCCTCTTAAAACCAAAGTTCTTTAGAGAAGCTTATGGGAAGGCTCTCACCAATTAACTGGGGCAGTGGAGGAAGGAGAAAAATATTATATTGTATGCTCCAAAACTGTTATTTTGCCATGTTTCAGCTTGTAGCATCAATGTCATCTATTGTGATTGTTTGTTTAGCTTTGACTTATAAAATATCTTAGTATAAGGTAAAGGTAAATGTTCCCCTTAACATTTAGTCCAGTCGTGTCCGACTCTAGGACGCGGTGCTCATCCCCGTTTCCAAGCCATAGAGCCAGCGTTTGTCCAAAGACAGTTTCCGTGGTCAACTAGCCAGCGCGACTAAACACGGAACGCCGTATATCAAGCAACAATCAAACAAATTTAGAAGATAGAAACATAAACATAACATAGCAGAAACATAGTTTCATGCAAGTTTCGCAATCTTCATTCATCAGATCTGAGAAACACCAGATTCATGTGAAGTCTCCCTTAGACTGCATGTTTTTCTGTTTTATTTATTTTGTTTAGCTTTTCCTCAGAGCAAAAAATGGACATTGTTAACGACTTAGCATTTACTGCTCTTAAATGGGTAACTGTACAGAGCACTAGTCCATTTTATTATATTCCAATCTACAGTGATGGGTATGAATGATATACATAAAGCCAGGCTCCTTTTTGGAGTAACAGTGGATGTAAGCACACTTCACGAGGCAAGAGTATCAAGAGGTAGAACATCACATGACATATTGCAGCCTAGAATGAGGCTGTCCTTTGGCTTATGTGCGGTGTTTTGGATAGTGTGTTGTATAGGAAGATGAAGGAGTGAAAACTGGAGGAAGAAACAGCAATAATTTAATATAAGCAGATGACACCATCTTACTGGCATAAGTCACTTGAAATGACTTAGTGAAAGTGGAGGGGAAGAAGTACCAAAGTAAGCTGCAGTTGAACATTAAGAACACCAAAATAATTACTACAGAAGAACTACTCAGCTTTGACAATGAAGAAATACTTTCTAGCCACTTGGTAATAAGCTGAAGGGATCATATATAGGCTGAAATCCTGTTGCTTAGCTTTAGTGGCACTAAAGTAGGCCCATTGAGTCAGTGGGGATTTGGTAAGTTAACTCCTTCATAAGTTCAGTTGAATCAAATGGGCCTGTTCCAGTTGTGACTTAGTTTAGCATAGTAAGTTGCAACTAGAACAGGCCCATTCGAAGCAGTAAATGGAAATATAAAGGGAAAATCATAGTTGATTCAGTGGGCCTACTCTAGTATCACTTACTATACTAAGCAACAGGATTTCACTCATAAAAGTGTATAAAGTGAGGATCTCAGCTTCTATGGTTAATTCTGAAAAACTATGAGTAATGAATTGTACAGTATTTATTAATATATATTAATGACTAATATTTATTTACATCCTCAAATTCTCTTTTATAAAGAATACAAAAATTAATGTCCTTTTGGATGTTGTATATTGTGAGTATGCTTTCCACCAAAGAATGAAAAGCTAATGGCAGATCCTCCATTCATTAACAGCTCTGCTCAGATCTTGCAAATTAATAGCATTCCATGACAGGTTGGTCTCTCTTTTTATTGCTTCCTCCAAACATTGATGTCTTTTCCAGTAAGTTTTGTTCAGGTTTTGTGAATAACCAGCTACGGATTAGAGACAATCTGCTTCAATATTGCTCTCTACCATTCACAAAAAGACGACGAGCAGGGGAAAATCCCAGAATTCCGAAAATGTAACTCCTTTTTAAAATAAGCTTTATTTATTTATTGAATTTATGTGCCGCCCACTCTACCCAGAGGTCTCTCTCCGACCACTAGGGTGGTTCCTGGGGTACACCACCACCATCCATTCTAGGAGGTCGTACCCTCTCCCTCTTCCTCCAGGCAACAGCGGGTCCGGCAATAATCCCCCTCCCAGTTGTAAATTAGGGAAATCTTTCACGATACCAGGTGTTCCTCTGGCATAGAGCATGGGTTCTGTTTGGGCCCCTCTATCCACGAACCTTCCCAACTCTCCATCGGTTGATAACCTGAAAACGCGTGCGCTTTGACCCTCTTTTATATCCTCCCATAAAATAAGGTCTAGCTCCGCCCCTCTTTCATCGGCTAGACACACTTCAGTAGGTTTTCCTGTAACTCTTTCCGCTTGATCTATTTCAATTAATATCCCTTCCACACAACTACTTCCTTCTACGGGGTTTTCCATCATAGAGGACGGCGCACTTTTCTTCACGCCTTCACAACATCCTCAAATGCCCTTTTATACAGAGTACAAAAATTAATGTCCTTTTGAATGTTGTATATTGTGAGTATGCTTTCCACCAAAGAATGAAAAGCTAATGGCAGATCCACAGATGGGAGTCAACCTGTATGAAGATACAGTGTGCATAGAGTAAAACACTGATTTATTGCCACCATAACAAAGTGTTATATCTAAAAAAAACCACTGGTTTGTGTTTATCAGAATTATTCAAGACATGTGGGTTATGTATGTTAATAGCATGTATAATGTACAGAATTATTAGGTATGGGTTTTGTTCTTCGTTAGTATTTGTTTTTGTTTTGCTTTTAAAATGCTGAAAATTCAGGTTGAATACTTCAATGTGTAAAGAAGTGTATTCTTTCTGAATGGAACACTTCTTTCAAACTGCTAAGTGCCTCCAAGCATACAAACCGTCATTTAAAGCTTGTTTGTCATAATGGGGAAACCACTGTAACCTTCAATTGTATAGTGAGAACATGATCTTTGAATGATACCATCATTTTCTTTTTAAATTATTTAGATTGTAGAAACAATGAAATGATCAACTACACTAGATTTATGTTTATCCAGTCAACCAATGGGACAAGAGAATGGAACTCACTAAAGTCTGGCAAGATGGAAACCTTATTCCTGAGATATATAGGGACTAAGAGTCATCTGTACAGGCTGGAAAAGCAGCTTAGCCACTGATAACTTTAAAATCAAGCATGCTATTTCCATTTTATCTGCTTGGTGTAAACAAATAAAAGAACAGAAGGTACCTTGATGAAGTGTGACTTTTAGATGGATTGTTATGCATTACTGCTCTGACTGGATCTTTAGTACAACTTGTATTTATCATATCTCAGAGTGTTTGTTCCTTTATAGCCATTGTTTTTGCTTTAATATTGTCTTTTCATGATGCAAGCTGCCTCTTTATACTCATTGTTCTTATCTCTAAAGATTTCCTTTTTATGATGTACGGTGTTTAACTCATTGTTTTCAGCTTTAAAGATTGTCTTTCAATGATGTAAGCCTCCTTGGGTCCTTTTTAAGGAGAAAGGCAGGGTAAAAATATTTTAAATCAATAAATAGGAAGTATTGGATGCCATTGGACAGGTAGACTGTTGTCAGCCCAGGTACGCCTGAATCTAAATTCATGGAAGTTGAGACAGATGCCGCGACTAATTATTTAATCATCCGTTGTGCCATCCCCTGAGATTTTGTGTAGGAAGCAGAGCTTTGACCGTTATTTGAGGGATAAGGAGGGGCTTGCATCACATATGCTGACACCCCCATGACAGAGAAGGGGCCCACGCGCGTCGTCAGACCAGGCATGAGCGGTGGGACGCCTCCCGCTGCCCCAGGAGACTGTCTGCAGTTGCCGTTTTCAGACTCTAGGAGTCACTTTTCTGTTCTGAACAACGTCGCCTCAGCCTGACATGCCCCTGTCTGCCTTTCCCACGTGACTGTCTCTCCTAGAAGGGGGAGGCGGGGAGGGAGGGGGGGAAAGCGACCTCGGAGACTACAATTCCCAGAAGCCGCGGGTCTCCCGCCCTCCGGCCTCAGCCGCCGGACTCCCCTTCTCGCGCAGGCGCCGAGCCGACAAAACGGCCGTCGCCCCCACGTGACCCCCCGCCGTCCAATCCCTTTCGAACCTGGTTTGTTATCCGCCTTCCCTTTTACCTCTCCCCTCCCCTCCGCGCTTGTGCGATCAGAGCGATCTAAGATGGCGACGGTGGAACCGGTGAGTGTTCTCATCCTCGTTTCCTTTTTCCTCTTCAGCCGTCTTCCCTTTTTTGTGTGTGTGGGGGATTCTTTGGCAGAGAATCCAGGAACAGCTTCACGGGTTTTGTGGGGAAATAGTGGCGAAGGGAGGAAATCGTAGCGAAAAGGCTGAAGGGCGTTGGGCGGGGAAGAGGTAGATAAGGCGAAGGGGCCGGCGGCGGCGGCGGCGGCCTGGGAATTTGTGAGTCTGTGTGGCGCGCATGTACGGCGAGCGAAAGGCGCTGGTATGCGTGGGTGGGTGGAGAAGGTGGGGGGGTGTAATGCTGGGAAGAAGCGGCGTGCGTGTGCGGTGGTGGGGCTGGTGGATTCCTGGCGTGTGAGTCGAGAGAGCGGCCGGGAATTGTGCCGTCACAGCGCGGGCGGGGGCGACGGGGAGGGGTCGTGTGACGAGGTGGAAGGAGGCCAGAGAGGGCCAGTGTGTGAGGGTGGGAAAGGAGTCTTCGCCGGTGGCTCGCGGAGGCCTGCGGCCTGACCGAGGAGTGAGCGCGAGGCCTTGCCTTAGCTGGAGAAAATAGATACTCTATATCGGTCTTTTTGCCGGTACACGAGGCGACGGCGTTTGAGAGCTGGCGCCGCTTCCGCTGGCGCCTTTCGCGCCCGCGCTCGGCTCGCGTAACCTCGTAACTTTTTTTGCACGCGAAGTGTGTTAAGAAACCAGCAGAGAAGCGCCCTCTTCTTCCCGCCCTCTCTCTCTCTCCCTTCTCGTCCACTCTTCCCTTCAATGGGGCCTCTGTGGCCGCCCAAGTAAACCTGGTTATTTCGCCTCCTAGGCTGGAGGTGACGGCACCCCGGCTTGGGCATTTCGGCTCTTCCTTCTCTTCGAGGCGCTTGGCTGTTTTTGTATCTGAGGCCCAAAAAAGCCCCTCCTTTCGGGTCTTTAGCCTAGTGTACTGTTATTTTTCTGTATTTTGTAAGGAAATTAACTGTGCAGAGCGCCCCTTAAAATCTGTAAGGAATTCCCGGTTTTCAGTTTTTCCCCACCTCTTTTTAAAATTCTTTTGAGCTGGTTCTTTGATAGCATACCAAGTTTGTCCAGCTTCAACTCTTCGATCTTTCTGAAAAGATTGTCTCTAATTTATGTCTCTGTAATGCAATCATCTTACATTTGGCAGGTATTTTTCCTTATTTCCACACACCCATTGGTACTTTGGAGTCATTATTGAAAAGTGGGAAAGATTCCCCTCTCCTCAAACAGTGCAACCTGTCTTATTGTGGCTGGAGTGATGTACAAATATGGAACTTGGGGGTGTAGTGGAGCATTGTGACAATCCTGCTGCGTAGCAGCTTCTGTGTGGGGTGAGCCTTAGCTATAGTCCAAATGGCCCGGTAAATTAGTTTCCATGGTATATAGATAGTAGCAATTTCACTGTGTGTGTAGAAGGGCTGAGGTTGCTGTGGTGTGTGGCATGTGTTCAGTATGGCCCTCTGCCACAATCTGTAGAAAAATGTCACATTCTATTTTTGTCAGGAACTTTAAGAAGAAACATAGTTTTAAAATGTATTATTTGTCTTAGTCCACAATAGGACAAGGATTTTTATAGGCAGGAGAAACAAGTTGCTATGAATTAATAAATGATTATTGCTAGTTTATAGTTCTTAGTTCTATAACCTTTCTGAAAGTTGTTCTCTGGAAGATCCCAGAGATTACCAGCCCCTTATTTTTGTCAGTTTCATCACCTTCCAAAGCAAGTGTGGGTTGTATTACTACATTTATAATCTATTAATAGCCATGATTGAAAATCCTGGGCAAGGTAATGTAGTATGGGTAAGTATTTCTTGTGTAATATTCTGTCATAATCGCACTCTCTTCACTTTAAACAGTGGCAGCCAGCCAATTCTTTTTAGTACTTCATCACCTATAGAAGATGTAGACTGAAATCTATTGGCGATTTATGTTTGCGTAAGGGTAAGAATGTACATCTTGGGGACAAATTGCTATTCATTAGTGACATGTTGGTTGTATTTTCGGGTGTGTGCTTCACTGTGCTATTGGGCGTGTGCCCAGAAATACAACCAGTACCTTATTAGTGAGTGGTACTGTAATTTGCCACTAGGACTAACACAATTTTTCTTATGCAAACCTAAATTGCCAGTATGGAATTAGCCACTGAAATTTTATCCAGTTCTGCTCTGAGACAATAATTATAAAGTTCAGAGCATTAAAATATTAGAAGTCAAAATGTGTGTTCTGAAATAATTAGCCATTCTGTGTATCCACATTCACTGAGTTCAGAGTAAATATTTGCGTTTGTCCTTCAGAAAGTCTCTTATATGAAGACATTGAGGTTGACAGTATCATTGGAAAAGTATATGTTGTGAAAAAAAAAAATTTAAGTACAGTAAGTAGGGGTTTGCTATTTGAGTTCCCTTGCCATATCACAAGGATAAATATGAACGTGTGAAGTTGAGTTTTTGAAGTTGAGTTTTTGTTGTCCAGTGAGAAAGCATCCATGCTTATGTCATTGATACTTGGATTCTTAGTTGAAGATTTGATTACCTTCTGATGTGGACATCTTTTGCTTAAATAGTATGGATAGCTCTTGTAATTATAACTCAGATTACAGGTGATAATATTGAATATTCAATATTTCATCAGTTCAAATACTCTTTTTGGTTTATGGAGTCTCACTGTTGTAGTTATGTGAGTATAACCTGTTAGGCAGTCAACTGATATTTAAGTAACATTGTTGTGTTTGCATGTAACATAGATAATTTAAACTTGATAGTCACAACTATTTATTTATTTATTTAATTTATACCCCGCCTATCTGGCCCACCGGACCACTCTAGGCGGCTTCCAAATATAAAATCAAATAATAAAACATAGACAAATACATAATAATCAAACAAGAACAGCAGTAAAAATAAAAAGGAAAAGTAAGAAAAAATCAAGAGTTGGCTGGAGGGAAGGCCTGAATAAACAGCCATGTTTTTAATTGGGTTTTAAAGGTGTCCAGTGTGGGGGCCGCGCGAATCACCGGAGGGAGATTGTTCTATTCTACTAGTGCTATTTCTTATATCTCTCTGGTTTGGAATGTTCATTTTTGACTTATTGAGGTGCGAGGAAGCTGTGCGTTGCTTCTGCCTTTCCAAAACACTGTGGATCAATGTTCTCTAATTTTCAGCCATGTTGGGTGGGGCTTTGCCTCTTCCTCCATATGGGGTTCCACTGGGACAGGAACCAAAGGGGCTGAAAACGATCAATCCCTTGTGGGTGAGGGGAGGAGGAGGAGCCCTGCGTGGAAGGGGGCAGAGTTGCAGGCAGACACTCACCTTAGAGAAAACCTTGCTGTGGGTAAAATATTAGCAATTGAAAGTTAAATTATTTCATGGGCCTCTTTTATTGTCACTTGATACAGAATTGAGTCTCAACTATGTTTTATAAAGATCCTGTAGAAATCATGACTTCTTGCAGTCTCAGCCTGTTGTGGCCAGTAGTCAGTACAGTCCAAATTCAAAGCTATGCCAGCTATAGTGTGTTTAAAATAGGCAGAAACCTCTTGTGCTCACACACCTATACTTGTGCCAGCAGATTTCAGATGTGCTGGAGCAACTGCTGTATTGGCTAAGAGAACCTGGTAGAAGAACCGGAGGGGGGGGAGACTGCATTAGACTAGATCAGTGGTTCTTAACCTTTTTGAAAGAACCGCCCCCTTGAGCCATTGAGGAAGTTATCATCGCCCCCCTCTTATTTCTTATTATATCTTATTTGTTTGTTTGTTTAAGACACTTAAATCCAATGACCCCTGAAAACAAAATTCAATTCCAAGAAAATGAAATGCCCCCCAAAAGTAACATTTAATGATTTAGTTGCAAGCGAATTTGAAGACTCAAAAAGAAATATAAAAAGGGCATAAAATGCAGGAACTAAAAATTTCAAGACGAAAACTCTGAAACTAAATTAAGATAGGAGGAAAATATATATTCATGCACACTGTAAAAAGGCTGCAGCCATCTTCACAGGTTTGGCTTGCTCCAGCGCCCCCACGCCGCCCCTTTTCGTTCTACCACCCCCCTGAAAAATGAAATCGCCCCCTGGGGGGCATTATCGCCCAGGTTAAGAACCACTGGACTAGATCCTCTCAGCCTAGATTCACAACCACTATAATATCACAAAGTTAGGCTGGAATCAGAGTATTTATAAGTAATTTGGAATATTTGAAAGTTGCAGTTGGGTAATTTAGAAGTTTAATAAATAAATTTCAGCACTGACAACTGGCATACTGTCAGCTCAACCAGCCTTTGACCACTTTGGCTAGCTAAGATGATGTCTGGATTTGACCCATCTTTACATTTTGCAGTGTCTCCATAGCTTACTGAAATCTGAAATAAATGGTCATACATACTGTTGTGTTTTGATACAGAAAGCTATTATTCCCCTGAACAGATCTGAAACAAAGTTTGCATTTTACAGTAGAAAATGGTGTGGCAGTCCCTGAGAATGATCTCACCCTATAGTATTTTAGTGTTACTGAATTTTAATAAGGCAGCACAAAGAATGAAATGTTAATTTAATTCACTGTACAGTGGTGCCTCGACTTATGACCATAATCCGTTTCAGAAGATGAACATAACTTGAAAAGGCTGTAAGTTGAAGCACCATTTCCCATTGAAATGCATTGGAATGTGATTAATCCGTTCTGGCCAAAAAAAGAGAAGAAGCGCACAGCAAGCCCTGTCGGAAGGCACTGGGGCTGAAAAAAATAAACATACAAAAACACACAAAAAAAATCACAGCACAGAAACATAACTCCCTCAGCCCAAACCCACCTGCAAACCCCTGTAAATGTACTTACTTAGAAGTAGAAAGCAGCACCAGGCAGTCCCATGCCTCCTCTAACGCACACACTCCAATCATTGGGGCAAAAGAGCTACAAAGAAGCTCTTTGCCAGCCAATGGCTAGCCCTCTACAGTAATTTGAATTCCCCACGTTTTTTCCCTGCTTCTTTTGATCGCAACTTGGCACTCCAGCTGCAAGTCAAACAAAAAAAGTTGCAGCCGGAGCTGGTCGCAACTCGAAATAGTCATATGTTGGGACGGTCGTAAGTCAAGGCAACACTGTATTTCAGTGAAGTGTTTAATTGAATGGTAATGGAAATTTATTAAGTGTTTAAAATGTATACCAGAGTTAGGCAACGTGGGGCCCTGTTCTTGGACTGCTACCCCCTATCAGCCTAACAAGCATAGGCAGGAATGATGGATTTTGAAAACAGATCTTCATAGAATCACAATTTGCCCATCCTGACTACACCATTTTCTTCAGATATTTATGAGAACTGTTGTACTGGAGCCTTTTTATGTGGTGCTCATTAAGAAATGTGTGAAGGTGAAGACACTTTGCTGTATTTGCATACATCTGACAATATGTAATGAGGCTGAACCAAGTTGTAACTTGGATTTTGTTTGGTTTTTTAAATGCATCTGGAATTATGTAAGGAGTATCTTACTCTTTACATGAATGAACTGAAGAAATTGGTAGAACATTTTTGATCCTGACTGTTCCAGAGGGCCTAAACAACCAACTGGTTGTATTTGTACCACAAAGACTTGCAGATATTCATGGTTTTATATCAGTATATGTCGGCAAGATTATCTTGCATAAGGAGCACTTTTTGTGACACAGCATGTCACAGTTAAAAACTAATTAAGTACTTGCTTTGTTTTTGTAGGAAACCACTTCTAATCCTCAAACTTCAGAAGAAGAAAAAACTGAGACATCATCAGCAAGTCAGGAGATTGTCAGTCCTGAACCATACATCAAGCATCCATTACAAAACAGGTGAGGCATGATTCCTTTGGAAATACAATAATGTTACAGGACTGTCAAAACACATATTGGGTATTTTGGGATGCAATCCTTTTTAAAGTATAGTAAAAGCTAAGAATATTCTTAAACTGTAACTGTCTTGCAGGTAAAATTGAGGTACTGCATGCATGTCCATCGTCCATTTTGAGACGAGACTGATACAGTATCAACATTACACTGCGAAGAACAGTATTGCCTAATGGTGAATATATTTTCTGTTCAACAGGAGTGAAGTGTTCCACTAATATCTTCAGTTCACTTAAATTGCAGGTTTTTTTGTTGTGAATAATTGTCATAATTTCATTTTGCAGAAAATTCTCAAGAGAAAATTCTTATTCAGCATGTTAGTTTGAACCAATTTAGAATCTTAGATCTGAACTTTTCTTACCCTGTTAACATCATCAATGCTTATGCATCCTCAATGCTATTGATGCTGATACATTCTCAGTACTACGATTGCTATGTGGAGTGGTTACATAGCCAGTTATTGTGATTCCTGTGATAGGTATAGATGCTATTTTGAGTACTTTTCAAACTTTTCAATGAGGGTATAGCGTAGTAACCAAAAACCAAAACATTTGCATTCAATTATGTTAGATAAGACATGGTGGTTAAACTGCAGAAGCCTCTGCTGCAAGGTCAGTAGACCAGCGGCCATAAGATCGTATCCACATGATGGAGTGAAGCTTGTCCCAGCTCCTTCCAAGCTGGCAGTTCAAAAGCATGTAAACATGCCAGTAGATAAATAGGTACCACCTCAGCGCAAAGGTAACGGTGTTCTGTGTCTAGTCGTCCTGGCCACGTGATCACGGAATCTGTCTTCGGACAAATGCTGGCTCTATGGCTTGGAAACGGGGATGAGCACTGCAAATTGATACTGCATTATAATTGGAAGAAAGTCTTAAAGTCTTATTCCATCCTACTAATTACCAGAGTAAAATTTTCAGTAATAAACTACGTAATAGCATTCTTGGTTTAATACAGCAATTTTGGCTTAATAAATATATAGTTTTGTATAACTTGTTCCTGTATTTTAAAAGCAGCAGAATGACATTAGGATATGTGTCTCATTAAGTTCTGTCTAGAGTAGTATCCCCTTGCAAAAGAGCACATGCACAGGACTTTCCTTAAAAATGATACCATTCACGTGATGAGTAGTAGTTGTAGTGGGAATCTATTTCTTCCCTAATAATTACTCACTAGATTTTTTTTTAAAAAAAATTAAGAAATACTTTTGCATCATTAGGTTTTAGATCAGGGTGATTACCATATTTGCCGACATACAAGATGACTTTTTTGGCCCCTAAAACATGCCTCCAAGTGGGGGGTCCTCTTGTACGCCGGGTGCACTTCAGTCGGGCCAGGAAGGAGCTGCCGTTGAGTGAGTGATGCGGGGCTGCGCCAGCAGGGGAGGAAGGCAGGTGGTCGGTCCAGACGGAGGGAGGGAAGCAGAGCCAGCCATGCCTGAGTGGCCAGGGCACCGCCGCCGCCCGGCCGCTTTCCTTCCTTTTTGCAGCTGAGCCAACCGCCCGCTCGCCCGTGCACCACCAGAGAGCTGCTTCCCCTTTCCCTCCTCCTCTGCCGCCCCCGTCTGGCCGCTTTGACTCCTTCTCACCTTCCTCGCAGCTGAGCCAGCCGCCCGCACGCCACCAGAGAGCTGCTTCCCCTTTCCCTCCTCCTCCTCTGCCGCCCCCGTCCGGCTGCTTTCCCTCCTTCTCGCAGCTGAGCCAGCCACCCGCTCGCCCGCGCACGGCCAGAGAGCTGCTTCCCTTCCACCACCGCCCCTGTCCGGCCTCTTTCCCTCCTTCTCACCTTCTTCGCAACTGAGCCAGCCGCCCGCACGCCACCAGAGAGCTGCTTCCCCTTTCCCTCCTCTGCCGCCCCCGTCCGGCTGCTTTCCCTCCTTCTCGCAGCTGAGCCAGCCGCCCGCTCGCCCGCGCACCGCCAGAGAGCTGCTTCCCTCAACAGAGCCATCCACTCTATATTTTGAGTGGAAATGTTGGGGGGTCGTCTTATACTCCCAGTCGTCTTGTACGCCGGCGTACAAAAACAGCACCTAGTTAATGAGTATGCAGATGGCTGCTCGTATTCATGCAGTGCCACTAGTTGGACCAGGGCATAGATGTTCTCTGAAGTATATGATCCTGATTATATGTTTGCAGAAAATTCCTCTAAAAGAATACTAAATTTAGGAGGTACGTATTTATAAACTTTTTTTTAGTTCAGGGTTAAGCGAGCAGCTGTTATGTCTAAATATATATATTGCCTGGCTGTCAGGTTTCTTTTTCTGGTTGTCATTGTTGGCACCTAGAGCCTCACTAGCCTCCCTGGAAATTGAGCTTGCTTGTTGCCTTCATGCTTTGTATTTTTCCTTCTGCAAAGTTCTTTTATAGTTTTGTTTAAAGTTTACTGTAAAAAGAAATTGGTTGGATAATAGTACTGTGTAGCCTAACATCAGATCATTGTTTTTTCAGGTGGGCACTCTGGTTCTTTAAAAATGACAAAAGTAAAACCTGGCAAGCAAATCTTCGTCTGATCTCAAAATTTGATACTGTTGAAGATTTTTGGGCGTAAGTGAAGCTTTCAAATGCCAATATTGTTCATTACTACAAAATATACTTGTACAGTGGTGCCTCGCTTAACGAGCACACCGCATAACGATGAAATCGCATAGCGATCCGTTTTTTCGGATCGCTAATGCGGTCGCTTAACGTCTTTTGAATAGGGCTCAATTCGCTTTGCGAAGACCGGTAAGCGTTTCGCTTACCGATCTTCGCAAAACGAAGCCCGACAATCAGCTGTTCGGCGGCCAAAATGGCCACCGGAAGCTCGGAAATGGCCCAAAATGGCCGCGCGCAGCATTTTCGCGCCCTCGTTAAGTGAGGCGAGGGGGCGAAAATGGCTGCCGGCCATTGCGAAGCTTCATTGAACGGGGAGTATTTGGCCCATTTAAACATGGTTTAATGCGTTCCAATGGGCTTTTCTGTCCCGTTCAACGATGCTTCAGCATAGCGAAGGTTAATCCGGAACGGATTAACCTCGCTATGCGAGGCACCACTGTAGTACCTTACTATTTAACTTCTTAAATCCACTATGAGGAGACCTACATGTTAGTGCTAGTGCCAGTTGGGAAAGTTTGATATTAAATGTTTGGAAGCTTTTAGTTGAATTTGAAATTAGAATTATTTTTGTTCACTACACAAAATTAGATAAGTATGGGAACTAAGTAAGTTGAACAAAGGGGTTAGTTAAGGAAAGAATGCAAACAATTTGGTAGACGTCTTGATTTTTTAAGTAATAAAAGGTCAGGGGAATTTTAAAAGATATTTAATAAAGAAATCTAAGAGAACAACACTTAATCAGTTTTGGTACCTGTGTTGGGAACTTCTGTGAGCTGATCTCTAAATTTATAAATATAATGATAATGCTAAATGGATTGGTTTAGGTTTTGAACTCTGGATTGTGTTTGCTTTTTTATTTTTCTTCTAATGATAAATGGTTAAGAATAGGTTTGTATTCATTGTCAAAAACGGCATTTTCAAAATTTGAAGTAACTGTAAATGAATGGACAAAATCTTGTTCAGCACAGTAAATCACACTAGAGTAAGCTTATTGAATCAATGGAATTTACTGAGTGAACCCCTATGTGTATTCCCATTGATTCAAATGGGCTTACCCTGACTGACTTACTACGGTAAGAGTAGGCCCGTTTGAATCAGTGGAACATACTTAGGAGATGACTCAACAAATCTTCCTTGGTTCAGTTGGCTTGTTCTAGTGTGATTACTATCATAGCTGACAGGATTTTGGCCATTGTAAAAATTGTATTGTATTTCTATATTCTAAGCTTTTGATTATAGTCTTCAGTTTAGTGGTAGTTTATTTTCTTAGCTTTGTTTTCTTTCCCCCAAAATAGGTTATATAACCATATCCAGCTTTCTAGTAACTTAATGCCTGGTTGTGACTACTCACTTTTTAAGGTATGTGGAATAAACTCCTTGGGTTTGATTTATCTGGTTAAAATTAAGTAATAGAGGGGTGCCCCCCCAATCAAACCAAATGCCTTAGGAAGTTTGACAAAATACATTTACAGTAGGCTACTGTCATACTGTATGAGGTACTGTATAGCTAGTTTCCCTAACTGTAGCATGATGCATAACTTTTTAGGATTGATTTTACACCTTTGCTACTTTATGCCTTACTAGTACTTTTTCATATCACTGAAATTTTTAGGATGGTATTGAGCCTATGTGGGAAGATGAGAAAAATAAACGAGGAGGACGATGGCTAATTACACTAAACAAGCAGCAGAGACGAAGTGACCTTGATCGCTTCTGGCTAGAGACAGTAAGTGTCTATGTCTCTGTGTATTTGGTGTTTGTCTTGGTCATATTTGAAAAAGATTTTTTTTTCCTTTCTAAATTTCTGGATGGAGGTGCACTTACTTTGTGCAAACAGTTTATTGATCATGGTTAGACCCTTATTTGAGCAGTGTGATGGATTTGGCATCTTAGTGGAAGGCAGAAACTCATTAACATGTGAAGACTATTCAATTCAGCTGTTCTATTCATGGATGTATGGGGCATGTTTAACTCTGCTGGAATACATGGAGTTCAGCAGCGTGATGCAGTTGCAAACAAAGTCGGAAAGCAAGTGACACAATGTGCTAGATCTGACAGAGCATGACGTTGAACAGGGCTAACAATGCTTTTGAAGTTAAGGGTCCGATTCTTCTCAAGTAGCCTTCCTTACAGGACTTCCTGGCAGCAGTGGATTAGGCCAAATCCAAAAATAGCTGTGCAGGAGTTCTGTACAATTTCCATTCATGTACACCTGTACACCACATATAGCCACTCTAATTACAATAAAATTACTAGTCACACTTAGTGCCATTCTTTCTCTGGGTTGCTTATGTATGAGTCCCTGCAAGTTGTATTTATTGATTTTATTAATGATTGAGCAGGAAATCCTAACAGTATTCTTAGAAAAGATATGAATGGATTGCAGTTTTTTTTCAATGCTTAAAATTGCTCTTATACTTCTGGAAGAATTCAGTTGTCATAAGCTGCTCTCAATTTTTGGGAATACATGAATGATTTGGTGCATTGCCGAAGATCTGCGGAGTGGTGCAAGAGAGAAGAGCTGTAGGAAAAGCTCTCGGCTCACACTTCTTTCCATTGTTAGCACTATTAGAAAGAGACTTATAATGTTCAGTGATGTTTAAATAATTGATTGTGGGGAAAGTATGGCCTAGATGGAGAGTGCCTGATGTGGAGGTCTTGTCAGGCTGGACATTGGTAGGTACATGAAGTGATGCTAATAGTATTTACGAAATTATTCTTTGTTTCCATCATGTCAGCAACAAATCCCCGTTTGACTTACAATAATGAGAGGATTTTTGTGTCTGAGGGAGATAAAACAGAGAGTGTGGCAGTTCGCTGGTTATACAAAGCTGCCTTCTACTAGAATAAATTTGTTCTGATATGTTCAAATGTGTTTTGTGTATTTTTATTTAAAGGCAGTTTCAGCTAGTGTAACTGTTTAATTGTATTGAATTGTTTGTGTTTTTTATTTTTATTTTTATTTTGGTATTTTGTAGTTTTATATTTTGATTGCATATTGTAAACCTCCCAGAGAATGGCAACATTAATGAGGTGGTATGAAAATGGAAATACAGTGGTGCCGTTTAACGATGTGTTCGCTTAGCGATGAGGTTTCTGGAGTGATTTTGCGCTCCGTTTAATGATGTTCCCTATGGGGAAAATTCGCTTAGCGATGACAGTTTTAGGTCCCCTGTTTCGCTTAGCGATGTTCCGTTTTCGCTATTTTTAAAGTGTCTTAAAAGGTTCAAAAACGGTTTTAAATGCTTGGATTCGTTAGAGCACCTTCTAAAACGTGTGCAAACTTAATTTGGCTTTGTTCTGACTCTTCGTTAATTTTTGGTGAATTTTTCCCCCCATTGAAAAGCATTGAACCCGATTTTGACGGCTTTCTTCCTGCGGCTTCTGACGTGCTGTCTCAGCCACTCAGTCTTTCGCTTGCATTTTCTCACAATGTGCAGAAATATTATCAAATACAGTGGTGCCTCGACCATAATCTGTTCTAGAAAATGGAACATAAGTTGAAATGTTTGTAAGTTGAAGCATGCATTCCCATAGGAATGCATGGGAATGCGATTAATCCATTCTGGCCAAAAAAACCCAAACCTCATAAAAATAAACATGCTGGGACTGCAAAATAAAAAAAAAATCACCAAAAAACAAACACACCACAGAAACATAACCCACCCAGCCCTGCAAAACCGATCCAGAACAGTTTACAAATCGAAAACTGACACCTTACCTTAACCAGGCAGTCCCAAGACACCTCCGCAGGCCAATGCTGCCACTGCTGCTGGTGGCCAATGCCACCTCCAGCTCTGGAACCAACACTAGCGGCTGCTCACCAGGGTGGCTGCAGAGGTCCTCGGCGCTCCTCAGCGGCCTCCACGGGCTGATGCCGCCACCGCTGCTGGGTCTCTGGTGAGCAGCCGCTGCTGTCGGTTCCGGAGCTGGAAACGGCATCAGCATTGGCGGCGGCATTGGCCCACAGAGGTCAGCGAGGAGCGCCAAGGACGTCCTCTGCCGCCCTGCCGAGCAGCTGCTGGTGCCGGAGCTGGAGGTGACATCAGGCAGCGGCCTGCGGAGGGCGGCAAGGAGTGCCAAGGACCTCCGTGGCCACCCTGATGAGCAGCTGCTGGAGCTGGAGGCGGCATCAGGCCGCGGCAGCAGCCCGCAGAGGGCGGTGTGGAGTGCCAAGGGATGCCGCCTCCTCCCTCTGCCACTGCATCCCTTTCCCTAACCGTTGGGGCGAAAAGAGCTACAAAGAAGCAGCCTCTTTGCCACCAACGGTTAGTACATTTGAATTTCCAGCGCCTTTTCCCTGCCCAATTTTGGTCATAAGTGGAAGCTCCGGCCACAAGTCGAAGCAAAATTTTGCGGCCGGAGCTGGTTGTAACTCGAAATGTTTATAAGTAGGGACGGTCGTAAGTCAAGGCACCACTGTATGTAGTTATTTGCTATCAGTTATTTTCATAACTGGTTTTAACTTTTGTTTGTTTTAATGGAGGCAGTAGATTAGAAAAGACAATTTTTATGAAACAAACAAGGGAAATTAAGATTTTGTTATACATTTCCTTTCTTGCTCTCATTCATTTCTTCCTTTTTGTTTTATTTTAACTAAAATATCATAACATTTCTTTCCTGACAGGAGGTTAAACTATTTTTAAAATAATTGTTATGTCTTCAAATTGGTTTGTTCTTTTTACCTTCTCCTTCCATGCAAAGGAAGAAAGAGGAATTTTCCTATTATTAATGGTTTTGCCTTTCATTTGCTTCTGGAGTTGGAGGAATATGATTACAGTGTTGCCCCGCATAGCGAGGTTAATCCGTTCCGGATTAACCTTCGCTATGCGGAATCGTCGCTAAACGGGTAGGGAAAATGTATTGAAACGCATTAAACTTAGTTTAATGCGTTCCAATACCTTTCTTACTTACCCGTTCAGCGAGGATTCCA